TGTCTTTCTAATTAGTCTAGACTTCATCGCGATATGAAAAACGCGCCACGAATGGTATAAAATGCAGAAACGAGTGCGTCTTTTCGCAGGTCGTTCGACGGACGGCGAGGTAAGTTTGGCATGCATCGCTCGCTCCTTTGAAACAGCGAAGAGCCATCTATGGAATTACCCCGATGATTAATGGTATGGCGCTGGCTCGGGGCACCCGTCCACCTTGTTTTCCAATTCTCCTCTGCCCCTCTGCTCCTCTTTCTTCTTTCCCCGTGTGTGCCCCACCGCCTACATCTATCCGCGGCCTCCGTCACTACGTGCTACCGGCCCATCTTGGGCCCAACGGCTCCGGGGGCCTTTGGAACTCGCGGTACACGAGCCGGCCGACTGTTCGGTAACCATGTAAAAAAGTGTACAATGTTAAACCCGCATTGCCCCTGCCAACCATATCTCATCCGCTCGTCCATCCGTCTGTCTGTCTGTCTGTGTTCCTATCTTCATCTTGTCTTTTCCATTTAATCTAGATTAAATATTTAGATTACTTTACGTATCTTACAATCGCGAACTTCATTAAGATCCAGCTTGGGCTTTCCGTTTTTGCACACTTACGTTAGTCGACGTGTGGCTTGCGGGTAGTTAACGCTATTTGCGAATTGCTTGGAGAGATGTTCCCATTTCTCGTTTAAATTCCAATAATTCAATGCATTAACAAGAGCACGATGACGTATATACACGACTTCTACTTTGCTTCTTCCTTAATTCTTATATTTTCTTTTGTATTTATTACTGCACACATAATCAAAGAGTATCTGTATTTTTTATATCGCTTGGACGTACGTTTTCACGTTACATTTCACGTTTGTATATAATTTAATAATTTTTCATGCGATTTTAAAGTCTTTGAGATTTTCAACTTACATTGAATAGAGGTCATATATATATATATATTAGGACTTTCGCAAAGCTTACAATTAGAGCAATCATTTCTACGAAAAATCGTTTTATCTGAGAAATGAAATCGTTGACGGTGCGAACGCATTAGTTTGTCTTCCGCGAAGGCGTGTAATCGCTAGCCACAAGCCAGAAAAAAGGAAAACTACAGGGCAAAACTACAGGTACTATAGATACAGGTACGAAGGACAGGAAGGAGAGAGAGTATGGCGATATGACCCAGGGCAAAGTCGAGCGGCGTGTAAGAATCGGCTGACGAAGAAGGAAGAGATATAGCGAATTCGGGATTGCATGTCGGGGAACAGTAAGACCTCCCAAACAACCCCGACGGGGGCATCTTCCCTGGGAATAGCAGTGATTCCGGGGAAATGTGCAATATCTTCCGTGATCGGGTATTATTACGTCGTGATTACGGGTTTTGATCTAGGCTAGAAGCGTCCAGAGACCTTCCCCTCTCACAACATCACCCTCTTTTCTCTCTTTCTTCCCCTCGGCATTCTGTGCAACGTCTCGTTGCCTGTGTTCGTGGCCGATGCAGCGTCGATGATGCGGCTAAGAACAAGTCGAGGGAACGGCACCGAGTTCGGGAAGGGAGGACGTATTGTCCTCGACGACTGGTCGCCATCGTCGCCGTCACGTCGTCATGCGATTCGTGACGAGCGCCGCGAATCGCCGTGGGAAGCCACGTTGGCTTCCATTTCGCTTTCTCTCCTTCTTCCCTCCTCTTTTTCTATTCCGGCGCGTTCTCCGTGTCTTCCTCTCGATTACGGGCAACGGGGTAATGAACGACCTATGCCGCAATGCCGTTGCCCGTTTGCCGGTTGCTCTTTCATCTCCTCCCTCGCGATAGTCCTGCCACGAAAACGGCCGGCGATTCCTGTTAGTCCGCTACCCATGAGATCCGATCAGATCTAACTGTTTCGGATCGGAACAACGGCACGATCGAGACATGCTCCAACTAGTGCCGCTTCATAATTGGAGTATGAACCGCATGTATTCCTCGGGTCCGGCTCGCTGCTTCTTGAAAGGTATCCTTTCAGGGCGTGGGACTCGTTCTATTAATGTTCCAAATAACGTAATTATATTCTTCTATAAAAACACATAGTGTTTCTTTTAGTGC